CAGGGCCCCCGATGCTGTTGAGAAATCCCTGATAAGTCTGTGTATATTATACTTACGAGTGAAGCCTTTTGTTGTAATTTTAAACAACAATGATAACTTATGGTTATTCTATTCTCCTGATTTATATTTCATCATTTACATGGAGCTCTGACCTCTGGAGCAGGGTCATTTTGCTCGCTGGCCAAATATATTACTGCTCGAAGCTCCAAAAATTATAATAATTTTCAAAATTCAAAAATGTATATATAATTTATCCTTTTAAATTGTTTACAGTAAAATTTACTAAAACTAAAATCGATGCCCCACTATTCTACTAGCTTTGTTGCCCCTCTCTTCTCTTCGGCTATGCTACCCCACTCTTCTAACACTATGTTTTCCCCCATTCTCTACCAGCGAGGCTGCCCCACTCTTCAACCAGCTATGTTGCCCCATTCATCTACAGCTAAGTTTCCCCACTCTGCTACTAGCTATTATAGCTATGCTGCCCCACTCTTCAACCAGCTATGTTGCCCCATTCATCTACAGCTAAGTTTCCCCACTCTGCTACTAGCTATTATAGCTATGCTGCCCCACTGTTTTTAACACCATGACTTTTATTGTACCAACACATTCATCAATCTCGAGTGTATTATTTTGCTTGTGGCAAAGTAGAACAACCACACTTGAACCACATTCTACCAAACACATATTTTTATGGAACTGATACCATCCATGGCTAATCTAACCATTTAGTCCTTAAAATATATTTTTTTTTTGTGTAGCCTAATAATTATTTGAAAATAAATATTTCTCTTAGTCAATTGTTTCAGAATTTGCAACCTGAAAAATTGCCAAATTCATACAAAGTGTAACGTATCTTTGACGAAGGGATGTCATATCCGACTGTTTTAACAAACTTATTCTCGTGCGGAGATACTGATCTTCCATCGAGCGCCTCCCCGGGTGGCGGATAGGGGAAAGCCCACCAGATATGGAGGTACCAGGGAAATAAAATACCTGGGGCGGACCAAAATCAGAACCTACTGCCTTGTAGGAACTGGAGGGATCCACAAAGGCTAGGGAAACTTACCCAGAAACTAAGGCAGCTATCCAGCGAGCTGTAAGGGGCAACCCCCCCCCAACCCCCCAGACGGTTGTGCACAGGGTTAACAGCCCGGCCACGTAAAAAAAAAACAACGTTACGAAAGCCAATCAACAGAACAAAACCCGGACTGACACCAATGGAAATCGACCTGTGCCTGGATATGGACATGATTTTTGGATTGCGACTTGGAATATACTAAGCCTGTTTAGAGGAGGAGCCTTAGCCAACCTTGTAAATCAGCTGGTCAAATATAAAATATCTATTGCTGCATTGCAAGATATTCGATGGAAAAATTCAGACATCCTCAAGACAAAAAAATACACCATATTTTATAGTGGTAGCAACACCAACACACTAGAAACAGGATTCGTCGTGAAAAAAGAAGTGGTCAGTGCAGCCATAGGCTTCAAACCAGAAAACGAAAGATTGTGTTCTTTGCGGGTGCGAGGAAAAATGTTCAACATAACATTCATAAATGTACATGCGCCAACGGAAGACACGGAAGATCAGGATAAAGAATCCTTCTACGAAACACTGGAAAAGATCTACGAAGAGGCACCACGGCATGATATTAAAATAGTGATTGGAGACTTCAAGGCCAAAATAGGAAAAGAAAAGGTGTTCATGCCAACTATTGGCAAGGAAAGTCTGCATGAAGAATCCAATGACAATGGCATCCGACTCATAGACTTTGTAGGAAAAGGGATGTCAGTCAGCAGCACCAAGTTTCCGCACAAAAAATATACATAAAGCTCCGTGGAACTCACCAGATGGAATCACCCGCAATCAAATTGATCATGTTTTAATAGATCGAAGACATGGATCAGATATATTAGATGTGAGAAGCCTTCGAGGAGCAGATGCAGACTCGGACCCTCTACTTGTAAGGGTGAAATATAGACAGAGGATAAGCTTAGTTCACAATGGTCATAATCAAAACGATACGATTACCAAAAGCTGCCCAAAGACCCATTAACTGCAAAAGCTTACCAGAATGAAGTAGAATCACAATTAGAAGCATCGCACGAGGAAATAAACGGGAAAACAAAATAAATGATCAGTGGGATGGGATAAAAAATGCCATTAAAAGATCAGCAGAAAAAGTAGTGGGATTTCAGCAAGCCAACAATAGAGTAGGCTGGTTCGACAATGAATGCAGAGAGACTGTGGAAGAAAGAAACAAAGCACGAATGATCATGTTACAAAGGGAAACCAGAAAGACAACACAAACATACAAGGACGCAAGAAGGAAGGCAACAAAAATGTGTAAGAAGAAAAAGAAGGAATGGGGAAAGGATAAACTAAAGGAAATAGAAGATTTATCAAGAGAGGGAAATATAAGAGGAATATACATGAAGATAAAAGGTGAAAAGAATGGATACCAAGCCAGACCGCAAATGCGTGAGAGCCACAATGGAGAATTAATCACGGAAAATAGCAAAGTATTGGAGAGGTGGGCTGAATATTTTGAGGACATACTGAATGCAGACAATAGACAAGAAGAAGATTATCAACTCCCACAGGGAGGACCAGACCCGTTCATACAATGGCCAACCCTAGAAGAAACCAAAGAGGTAATTAATTACATGACAAATCACAAAGCCCCCGGACAAGACCTTATCACAGCAGAACTGATTAAATATGGAGGAAAAGAACTAAACAATCAGATACATAAACTTATAACTAAAATTTGGCAAGAAGAGAAAATCCCGACAGAATGGGAAACAGCATTAATAGCCCCAATACACAAGAAAGGCTCCAAACTTCAGTGCACAAAATACAGAGGAATCTCCCTATTAAATGGTACATACAAAATACTGACGAAGCTTAGTGCCAAAAGACTACAACCTTACACTGAAGAAATACTAGGTGATTACCAATGTGGATTCAGGCCTTACAAATCAACGACTGATCAGAGTTTCACCATCAGATGCCTATTAGAGAAATGCTATGAATTTAAATACCAGTACATCAACTCTATGTGGACTATAAAATGGCATATGACAGCATCAAAAGAAACTATTTATATGAGACTCTGCAGGAGTTTGGGATACCCAACAAACTGACAAGGCTAATACATGCAACACTAAACAACTCAAAAAGTAAAATCAAGATTCAAGGAGAATATTCAAGGGAATTTCTTATTAGACGAGGCCTAAGACAGGAAGACTCACTGTCTTGTATGCTCTTTAACCTAACATTGGAGAGAGTTATGAGAAACATACACATTGACACTCGAGGAACGATAACAGGATACTTTCTGAGGGAAACTCAAGACCCACAACCAACGGGCACACTCTACAACCAACCACTTCAGTATCTTGCATATGCTGATGACAAAACACTTCTAGGAAAAAGTATAAAAGACATATCAAAATCCTTTATTGAATTAGAAGATGCATCTTTACAAGCAGGACTGGAAGTTAACAACCAAAAAACAAAATACATGACCATGATAAGAGAGGAACAAACATATGAAACAATTAAAATTAGAAACCGAACTTTTGAAAAAGTAAATCAATTCAAATATTTAGGATCCTTGTTAAATGAAAGAAACGAATTACTAACAGAAATAAAAGAAAGAATATCAGCGGAAACAGGGCATACTTCAGTAGTCAGAAAATACTCAAAAGTAAAAACATTACAAGAGAAACAAAGAAAACTATTTATAAAACTGTGATCAGACCAGTTGTAACATATGCAAGTGAAACTTGGACCCTAACAAAAACAGCAGAAAACCTATTAAACACATGGGAGAGGAAAGTTCTCAGGAAAATATATGAGCCAACTAAGGATGGATATGGATGGAGAATAAGAACCAACCAGGAATTATACAGTCTATATCAGGATCCCACGATAGTGGCAAAAATAAAAAAGAGGCAGGCTACGCTGGGCAGGACACCTAGAGAGAATGCCAAATGACAGAGGAACGAAGAGGGTACATCATCAATACCCCAGAGAAAAAAAAGGCTCAAAGGCAGACCTAGGCTTGGGTGGATAGATGATGTAGAAAAAGATCTACAGCAGCTGAAAGTCCAAGCATGGAAAAGAAAGGCATTAGTTAGTTAGGTCTGAGTGGAAGGAAGTAGTGAGGCAGGCCAAAGCCCTACATGGGCTGTAGAACCACAGGATGGATGGATTAACAAACTTATTATTATATTATGAGTTAGCTAAGCGTGGAGGGGAGGGGAGGGGGGTAGAACAACTTGTAGAAAGTGACCGACCTCTCAACTAACCTTGAATCGTTTATCATCCATTAATAGACGATAAAAATTAAGCAATTATATATATAAAAAAAACTCTTGTAGTTTAATTCAATTTATAATGAATTTAATATAATTTATTTTATCCCGGGATTTGAATACTTGTGTCCCATTTTCTCGGGATAAGGCACTCCGATTAGGAAAACCCCGTTAAATTCGAAGCCCTAGCCTAACTAAATTCTGACCATTTGAGATTATTTGAAATTGACTATTATTTTATAGCAATCAAAATTAACAAATATTTTGCAACAAATTGTTTGTTTTTTTTTAAAATAAATATATAACAGAAAATTTATTTCGACTGCACTCCCTCCCTTCACCCCCACCCTGTTTTTTTTTCCACCACCTTTGCTAACAATTATTAGTTAATCATTTACAAACTTCCTCTCTCCGCACCCCAATTTTGTTTCTTAATTAGTGAAAGTCTCTTTTGCGCTGCAGGGGCAGTTTTTTTTTATGTAAAGGCGAAACAAAAATAGAAATTGGTTGCCTTGCCTTGCCTTGATGTTGTGGGAAATTTTAATTGGAAAGGTACGTTTAAAAATTTAATTGTTTCTATTCATTTGTCGAAGCTTTTAAATAATATTACATGAAGATCTAAATTATGAATCGGCGCATTAAATCTTTGTAACTTTCTTACTGAAGAGTGCTAGAGAATTCGCAACCAACAACCATGGCGTCCGTTGTGTTAAAAGTTTTGGGATTAACTTTAGGCTTATTTTTCATATTTGTCGGAACTATCAAATTAACACCTTCTGTCAATGCTGAAATATACAAAGAAATGGTACCATTTACATTACACTCTTAATAGATTCCATACATAAACACTCGCCCTATTATTTATTGATGATTAATGAAAATGATAAAGAAAATTGTCATCATTTTCTCAGTAATTCAGTTCAGGCCTGAGACTCAGTGGACAATTCACCTATATCACTACTAAAAAGAACTATCAGCCTACTCATAGCTATTCCTATCACATAATGACATAAATTCATAAATCATAATGTGGTGGCATATGCATACTAACATTCACATAGTCATAACTTAGGCTTACATAATAAAATATAGGCCTATACTAATAATGACTTTTATTAAACTTTTATTGCAAATATTTTGAAATATGAAGACTGATTTAACTGATGATAGTAATCAGTAATAGAATAGATTTTATAGAGTCTGATACTGATGATACAAATTCAACAGTCAACATTGACATCATTATCATCATTACTGTCGCTTGCAGTTGCATTCATTTTCATTAACTCAAACTTTGTTCATGTCATGTTCCACTCAATACTGGGACTGTATTTCTAAATTTGATTTTCAATTTCCATGATCTGAAATAAAACTTAAGACTTATGGCATTTAATTATGCCTATATGAAATAAGTAGTGAAAACACTAAGTTGAAGTCTAAAATCAGTTTCAGGTATCTGATAAGTCTTAAGACTTAAGTCAATAACTTTTCATTTTGCAATATAAATAATTTGCTAAATTTAACTAAATATAAGCCAAAATCATTAGGCCTTATTGGCTTATAATGGCTAATGCCTAAATTAAACAAATTAATATTCTTATATTCAAGAGCCTATTCAGAAATTTAGCTATCTTATCCTTTACCATTATTATTACAGCTTTATAATCAGGTTTGAGAACTCAAAAAAATTCATTTTACTGACAAATATTTTAAATCTTCTAAATTTTTATTTACCAACATGTACAATGGAACTTTGGATAAAGAACTTAATCCTTTCTGAGGATCCATTCTTTAACTGAATAATCACTAGTCAAAATTTAAATCGATGTAAATTCAATCAATCTTTTCCAGCCCTCGCAATATGGAATTTTTACATCTATAATTGTTGTTCTACAATGAAACTGTATATTTTTATGTGAATTCGCAGCCTCTCCATGTCTTAAAACACTATGATTTCTACCTCTTCAACAAAATTTATCTTACCACCTCTACTCTCTTTAAAGTCTTCAGAACTTTTACTCTATTTTGGCCAACAAATCACTGTGCAACTGCCTAAACTTTTCACAAATTATTGTCTCACTAACACTATCTGCAGACCACAGCCAGCTGCTTTCATCCAAACTAACAGTTTTTCTACTTCCTCTAGCACTTTAGACACACATTCACTCCATTAGCGACATCAGTCACCTTTAGTGTCTCTTTGTTCTTTGAAATAGTACAATTAGTCTATTTCAACATATTGTATTGTTTGGTAATGTCGGATAACCCAAAAGCCATTATCATGTTATAAATATAATTTATTACTTTATGTCTAGACCAGTGGTTCTCAACCTTCCTAATGCCGCGACCCTTTAATACAGTTTCTCATGTTGTGGTGACCCCCAACCATAAAATTATTTTCGTTGCTACTGCATAAATGACCTCTAAAGGGCTCACGGCCCACAGGTTGAATACTGCTGGTCTAGACTAACACGATTCCTATTAATAAAACTTTTCTCCTTAAGCACATATATTGTGCAATTTTTATTCCATTTGCAGTTGCATCTGTTGATTTTATGGAATCGTGCTAAAATAAAATTAAATTATATCTTTGATCTATGTAAAAATTTATATTATGAAGAACTCTTTGAAATGAATGAGGAATATAGCTTTTAAAATAATAACAATCTTAAAATATTGATCATTTTTTTCAGAGGAAAATTTACATTCGAAATTCAAAGGTTTTTCCACTTGTTAAGCAAACAGGATGGAAGCCAAATCCTCATACATATAGAAAAACGGTTGGTTCCACAGAAATAATATGTGGTGCTTTCCTTGCTTTCCTTCCAGGTAAGTTTTTATTGATACAATGGCAATAAATTGAATAAATTTTATTTTCAAATTTTCTATATCTTTTTTAAGGGTTTTAATTTTATTGATTTGGAAGATAACTTTTGCTGTTTTTCTAACATTCAAACCAGTTTTGATCATTTGTTCTCTCAGGATCTATTGTAATTTTAATTAACCACATTTTATAAATTTTATATTTACAGGCCCTCTTAAAGAAGCTGCTAATATTTTCCTACTTGTGATTACATTAAATGAAATATATGCTCATTATGCACTTGATGAAGGTCTGGAAAAGATGAGCCCAGCTATAGTTTTCTCCCTTCTTTTGACTTGTCGGTTGGTCATCTTCCTTCAGTCGTTGGCTGCTGAACCAAAGTCTGTATTTGAAAAGAGTCAACTTGAGCCAGGAGTGACAGCACCAACTAGCAGAGTGGATGATAAGAAGGATCAGTAATATCACGGCTCATTCATCAAGTCTCAACAATTCACAATCATCTTCTAGCACAGTAAAGGAAGTCATCATATTGTGGTGAAAAGATGCATTCATTTTCAATGCCTAAAAAAAGTTATTAGCCAAGCTAATTACAAATCATTACCTGAAAGTATCATTGACAACGATTAAGTAGATTTTATTAAATCTTTATTTTTAAAATATTAGTCTCACATAGTTTATGTACGGTAGCTGCAAGTAGATTCATTTTGATATTTATATTCCCACTTACTTAAATGATTTGTGTGGTCAAATTTAAGGTTTATATATTTTTTTTATTATTATTATATTATTTAAGGAAAATGATAAACATTTTGATGTATGATAAGTGGTAAGTACAATGAATTATGAAAATGAAGTATTATTGGGCATTTGGAAACTTTAATTAAATCTTTACTTTAATATTATATCACCTTTTGAATGTGTTCATTATTTTTGTTTTTAAATATCATTAGATCGTACACTATTAAGTTTTGATTCATGTCAATTTGCCTTCCTTTTATTTCATCAAAATGTTTTATTTGCTAAATTAAACATTTCAGTTTTTAAACAAAGTTATGTTGTTTGAAAAGCTACTGCTGGATAGTTTATCATATTATTTGAAATCACTTTTTAGTTCAGTTATAAAGAATTCAGTTGAGGTTGGGTTTTGTGTTTTTAGCAAAAATTTATAACATCACACATGCTATCTCCTCAGCCATTTATTCATTCATTGCCTTTCACTCATATTCTTTTTGGAAACTGTTTCATTATTTCTGCACACACAGAAGTATAACATTTCTGTTTGAAAGCTGAAATCAAATTATGTTAAAGGATGTGTAACTGACACAATTCATGAATAACTTTAATTAAGTTGTTTTGTGTGTCCATTATTTTGAGTATAACTATAAATTGAATGTTACTTGTCAATCTATGACATGTTCAACTCTGTAATTTCTCCTGTCCATCAAAAGTTGTCTGATGAATGTTCTTATCTGTCAAAAGGATATCAGAGATCATTGTGATACAGCTAATTACTCGTCAGCTGTATTAAAGACGAGTTGGCATGGGTGAGATATTTTTCCATAAATATATATATTAAATATTATTGCCATTGCTAACATGGTCTAACAGAAAGCATTCATGTTTTAGAATTTGGTGAACTTACATTGCAACTGTAGCTTCCTTGATGTGTTCCTTTGAGAATTCTTTTTTATTTCATAAGTCATGCATTTTGGTATGTGTAATTTCATTGTATTACATTTTTATCTAAATATCATGTTTAAAACTCAGTTTTTTCTGTATTAGTGACTCGAATACATTGTACAGCAGGGGTACTCAAACTTTTTATACTAGGGAATGCTAAATGTCTGAAACCCCATAAACAAGTATTTAAAGAAATAACAAGTGTTTCAGTGAGGAGCAGCAAATTATTATGAATATTATTATATTCGATTGAATGGATTATACTATAAAGTTTTACATCTTATTGTATTGGTAATTTGTTTTAAAAACTTTTCAAACATCAATTTCTATTCTTTTCCTTAAAAATATCTCACAACACACCTGTGAAGCTTTGCTGTGAGTAAGTTTAAGCACACCAGTTGAAAACTGCTGTGATTTAGTTGAATGAATTTTGACAGAAAAGCATAATTGTTTAATTGTTTAATTTCTAAAAAATAATAATTGAAGGATAGAATTCAAGCTATGTGAATGAAATAATATAACAAGGTATGTTGAAGCTTGAATGAAAAGACAGGGCAATAAGATGTGAACCTTTCATCCTAGGGCCTTCTTTGGCAAACAGGACAAATGAAAATACAACAAGAAACGGAGCACAGTAAAAAAAACTTTAGAGGTCTCCTTTGATGTTCCTGCTTCCGGCAACAACAAAAGAGATCTCTAAAGTTTTTTTTTACTGTTCCCTGTTTCTTGTCGCATTTTCATTTGTTCTGTTTGCTGAAGACTGCTCTGAGCCGAAACGTTCACATCTTATTGTCCTGTCTTTTGATTCAAGCTTCAACATACTAGTTAAACTCTTTAAATTCTAAACTGTTAATATTTTAAATCATTAATGAATTACAATTTTTGCTTGAAATGTAAATTAGATATCTTTTTATCTGGTTGATGCCTTTGTGGGTTGTAATCTATCAAAGCTTGTTATTATTATTATTTTTTTTATTTCAGTTTTTAGTCTGCTAATTATTTTATATTTGGCTGCTGTCAATAAGCCATTTTTTTCAGCTTATGTGTTAATTGTTAACATTTAAACTCCACTTTGGTTTTAAATCTGCTTTTTCTTCTAGTGCTAAAATTTCAGCATTAACGTAATTAATTTATTTAACATAACAATATGAAATATTATTTATTTATGCATGACTTTTAATGGTTAATTTTATTTCAAAAAAATGTATGCCAACTGATGATTTGTTATTCTATTTAAACCAGGTAATTATTGACTCATTATGTTTGAGATGCATTTATTATAATGTGTTGATTTTTCTATTATTAGTAAACTAATCTTAGATGTATTTGACTTAAGTTTCATAGGTTTAGTGGGTAAAAGATACCAATGTGGGGTTGAGGGACTTTATAATAATAGGTTAAGTGTAATTCTATTAATAGTTTTAAGACTATTGAGAAGACATTTGAACTACTTACTGAGAAAGCTTTTTTTTTTAATCACCAGTAACATACTATAATAAAATATTATTATTTTCTATACACACAGAATTAGCACTATTGTTATATGGTACATATTTTATCCTCAGTCTCCATTAGAAAATTGTTTAAATTATTTTATCTAACATTTGATAGATTTAAAAAAGACGTCAGTTCAAGAAACTGGTGATCAGATTATAAAATAATGTTGTTGAGTTTTAAAATAGTGCAATCAACCAGATGTTTACTGAAAAAAAACATGAAATGTCTTCTTTTTTTTTTTTTTTAAATATATTTTTAATTGTGCTTTTTATTTTTTATCCCTCCATAGTATCATGTAACTCAAACAAAAAATTGAGTTTTAAAATAGTGCAATCAACCAGATGTTTACTGAAAAAAAACATGAAATGTCTTCTTTTTTTTTTTTTTAAATATATTTTTAATTGTGCTTTTTATTTTGTATCCCTCCATAGTATCATGTAACTCAAACAAAAAATTAAGTGTTAGTTGCCTTGTCATAATTTATTCTGCATAGGGGGGTCCACCGGTCTCTTGTTGTTTGTCAAGTCAGATTATGTGCTGTAGTTTTGCTGGATCGTGACTTTCTTAATTGTTATGTATTTTTCCTTTTCAATCAAGAGCAAACTCAGTCAGTATTGGTTTGACAATTTGGCTATAAAAGCCATGTAGGGGGTACCTTTGTGAGCCAGACATTAAAAGCTGATTTAGATTAGACAAGAGAAATGAGTTAACTCACTTGTGGTGATAGGAGTGAAGTTATTACCGAGCATTATATTTGTGCTAGGCACAATATAATATACTATTTCATGATATATGTGTAGGATTTTTTTGTGTACACTTGTATTTATTCGGAACATCAGTGATTATCTTGTATGCAATTTTTGGACTGTGTTGCACACTAAGCCTAAATAAAAAACCTGAACTTTTAAAATATGTCATGGTTATTTTGACTTCTAACCACACATCAGCCTTGTAGGGGCTTGGAAAAAGAAATGGAGTCCTAGACTCTGACATTGTTTTCTCTGGCCATACGAATTCGAACAACTTCTAGATAGCATGCTATCTACCACATTGTTCAAGTCTTATCCAGCTGTCTAAGCTCAATATATATATATTATATGTGTGTCTAAAACGAATTAAGTTATTACTACTGTTGATATGATTGATATTCCAAACGATTTTTATTTATTCAGGCTAGATATTTATAGTTTTATACAAAACTTAAAATAAAGAAGAAGAAGATATTAAGCATTTAACTACTACCTTGCCATATTATCTTTGGTTTAGAGCATTTTCCTCAGTTCTCCTCTAGACCTTGCATGTATGTCATTGATATGGAAATATTGATAAAAAGTTTGGATTTAATGTTTCCAACCTTATATCTCTTCTTTTTAAATTCATAGCAAATATATGACAGGGTGATTACTTTCAGCATTGTAAATTATCATGAGTGCATACAGTACAGTTAATGAAAGTGATTTTGGTAATCCATTTCCTAATAACAAGCAAGTTTTTAAGCCAACGTGTCCCGGGGGGATATGTTCATAAAAAAATATTATTTTTTTTTACACTTTAATGATTATACATTTAATTCTGAATGTAGTTTATAATGCCTCAAAATCAAATTCTGATGACCAGAGGTAATCACAAGAGGCATATTACTAATTACAAATCTGTTTGAAAGGACAGGTAATTTCAATTATGAATGTGCTCCCAGTTAAGAAAGGAAATCACTGTAATTGGAGTAAAAGTAAAGAGAGAGCTAAATGTGGTAAATATAATATATAATAATATATATTTACATTGTGTTAAAATTATGTTTTTTTATGCTACAGGGACCTAGCAGGTCAAGTCTGTGCATTTCAAGGTTGCCAACTATCTGTAAATTTTACTGACTGACACTCCTTAAAAGTTTACCCTAAAAATGGCTTGTCCATAAAAGACTATAAGCACTTTGAGATGTCTGCAAAAATAAAATGAGACATTATTCAAATATCTTTTAAAGGTAAAAAATTGGTAATCTCAGCACTTCTATTTCATATCATAATCAGGGGAAATCAACATTGATGAAAATGATTTATTATTCCTCATTGTCATGACATAGAATAAAACAGTCATATTGTTACCCTATTTCCACTTTATTTAAGCTTCCTACTTTCAACAAGTCTATTTTAAAAATTGTGTCCATAATAATTTTTTGTCCATAAAAATTGTGGAGATTTGTAATATTTATATTTAAATTTTATTTTACTTAGTTGGCAATCCTGGTGCATGTGAAAGTGATTTTGAATACATTATATACCAACCACAGGTCTTCATACTTCATGCAATAGTTTAAGTATATATTTTGATAAATCAAGTGATGGGACTGTCTGGTTTTGCTTTATGAACACGTTTACTAAAAAACCTAACAAAGTTTTTCAGGTTAAAACAAACTTTTCTTTCCAGCATTGTTTGTTCATAAAATTTCCTTCTGACCTTCACTTTTCAGAACATAAACTTGACTCAATCATTAATGCTCAAGTTAAGCTGCTATATTGAGTAGGTTATCTTTAAAAAGGAAAAAAGATTCAGACCCTTAAAAGCCCATTTAATGTAAG